ATTTACAAATCCTACAAGATTTCTAAATCCATTAAAATATAAGAACCAATAACCTCCATTAATCCTAATACAACATAGTTAACACATACATAAAAGATATAATGAGTAAATATTTTTATTTAAATGGTATTTTTACAAAAATTTTAAAAATGTGGTATTTTTGAAAAGTGATATTTTTTATAATTTCTCAATATATTTCGAATTATACTATATAAATAATTGAGATTTGATTTTAGTATTTCTTATAAATAAGAGACGATTTTATACTAATATTATTAAGATATTTGTCTGTATTTTTTGTTACAATTTCTATATTAAAAACCCATACTAAATTATGTTTTATTTTTTATAAGAACTTGGGTAGAAAATTTATTTTAAAGATAGATAATTTTTTCACCATCAAAATAAATAAACTTATAATTGAAAAATGAAAAGAAATAGCATTGAAGTCTTGTTTGACTGATTTGTCGACTTAAAAGTAGTAATAAATTTACCAATATGTCCTGCTAATTAGCTTTCGTAATAGTAGAAAGATTTTATTTTTAAATCTCTCTAGATCTCTTTTTATTATTCTTTATTCATTTTAGTTTCTTGTGATCACGAATTAAAACACAACTAGATATTTTGTAATTTTTCCTCCTGATATACATTAAAAGGAGCCAACACATTAATTTCAAAAACAAAATTATTATAAAAAGGTAAAATATACAGGAATAATTAAAAATGTTTAAATATAAATATAAAATAAATGAATTATACTATGAGGACCTTTAAGACCTTAGGGCTAAAATAGTAAAAGCATAGACGAGATTTATGATTATACTTGTACAGGACACGTACGTTTCTTGAAGCTTTTAATCAAGTTGATAGGATTCGGTTTTTATGACAAGTTTTCTGTCGTTTTATGACTATTTTATTTGTCGTTTTGTTTATATATAGTTGATGATGTACTCAAAATTTTTCTTAATCTCATTTCATTAATAATTCGTTCAATCGAACTACATTTGCTAGCTCAAACTATCAATAATTCGAGTTTAGGTATTATGCGATGCATATGTAGATCTAAAAGAAACTTTATTTATAATTTTTTGGTAATGTATAGTTGTCCGTGAATAACATATACCATGATGCTATTTGGTTTATTATTTTCTAATCAGTTACGTAATAGTATTAGTTTATGATTAATTAGAACATAAACGAAAATATAGTTTTCGATATGGAATTCGAAATTTGGTAGTTTGAGTGTAGTTGTTGTATTGCGTATGCGTAAATTAGTACATTCGTATATTGTTAGACTATATATTATTGTTATCCAATAAAGTACATTCATGTATGTTTATATATTAAGATATAAGATCAAATCAAGAACACAAAGACGAATAAAAGAAGTAGGGCCAAAATCTTTTCTCCGGATTGTGACAAGTTCCTAAATTAGCTTATCTCAAAAGAAACAGAAGATTATGTCATAGTCATTCATGGTACAATTATTTGTTTCACTATTTAACTTCGAATAATTGAAGTAATTTTGAATACACCTTACTCAGTTCTAAACTAAACCTTAAGGACTTAATACCAATATTTTCTTTATGATAATAATACCTTGTGTTTCATTTTTAACCAATGTAATAACCCATTATTTAATTTTATTTTCCACCAACTCAATTTCTTAACGGTTCGCGAGTCAGTAGATTAGTGGTAGTTATTTTAGAGATCAAATTGATTGTTTTTTCGGCTAGTCATTAACACATTTAAAATTAGTCGAGTTCGTTTGTGTTATTTAGCGATTCACAAAAATCTCAAATTAACAAAACATGAATTTAGATCTCTCCAACCTAGTGTAATCCATATCACATAAATTCACTAAAATCTCAATTTTTGTAAAGCAGAACTTAAATCTCTCATTAATCAAAACTTCCATACAGCTTTAGCTTTTTCGGGCCGAATAACTCAGCTAGTGGGCTTAACAGGTTGAGTAACAGACTTGGATTTAGTTTTAACTTATTGGCCTTTTTTAATTGGGCCGAGATTACAAACCTACCCATCTCATCTCTTCAAAGTTGATAGTAACATAATAATTCAAAATTTTAATATAAAAATGGCATTAAATACACAATTTTAATATAAAAATGGCATTCAAAATTTTAATATAAAAATGGCATTCAAGTGTAAGCAGATACTATTTGTTAGTAGATATTTAACACGTGGCTAAAATCAGCTGTTCATATCTTCGACCAAAGTTTGTCTATGTCCACATAATAAAAATATCTCCATACATGAAAACAAATCGAATCATATAGATTTTCCACAAACAATTATTGTTTATCCACTTCATATCAGTCATGCTTGAGATCCAATCTGAATATGATATTGAATAATATTTGGTTGTGAATGTGACACTTTAGAAAATTGACAATTTTTGTATCAATGGATTGGGATGGTGATGCAACCAAAAGTTTGTACTAAACTTTAACTGCAAATAAAATGTATATTTTCTAGAGTCAATTAGTTATATAATAAAAAAATATATATATTTCAAAACACAACAAAAAACCCTACATCTAATGGTTAGGATGTTGTCACATAAAAATTTTGCTTAAATTTTGAAATATAATTTTTGTTTTTAGGGTTATACAACCCAATTTCTCTATTTTCTATTTCATAACAATTAAATACTTGTTAAAAAAAATGTCAAAACATTTAACTGTCTTTTTGTATTTTCAATACAGATTTTATCGAAAAATAACATCTTGTGCTATGTATTTATTAAGAATCTAGCATATATATTTTTTTTTTAATTCGTATGAAAAATCTCTAAAATGATATTTTTTCGTTTTTAAAGAGTTAATATTTTGGAAAAAAAATTGTTTCTAAAAGATTGATATTTTACAATTTCTTTGAAAATCAATTATTTAGAATCAGAGAGAGCATTTAATATGAAACCAATTGAGTAATTTGA